CTTTGTCTCCATTGTTCGTCACAACTGCCTTGATGACGGTACCATCGACCTGAGTCAATTTGACGTCCAACTCCTCGCTGTCCCTAGCATCTTTAGCGACAGGCTGGATGACGCCAGCAAAAGTTGAAGTGATGAAAGCTGCCACGACCAAGATGCCCGAGACGCGCCGCATTTTGTAACGGTGTTGATAAAAGAAAGTGGATCAAGAAGATAATCGCACACAAATTGAAAAGCAGATTCTGGATACGGAGTTCTATGCACAATCGATAGCGACAAGCAGAGAAGAGAAAGGAGTAAATGGGTGAAGAAAAAGACAGCAAGGCGGAATACAAGAGAGCGACAGAGTTGAAGATATAGAAAAACTCGGAGATGGCCGACAAACCCATTGGTGCCTTCCTCTGCTGGACCTGTTTGGGATGCATAGCTTCGTCGAGAGGGTGGCATCCAAGATCCCCAGCTCGGGGATGCCCGTCGATGCACCTGCCCAACGGAGGAGTTCGCAATGTCCTTCATTCGGGATTCTGGCCGTTGGGAAGCAATGTGGTGTGTTGTGTGTCGTGTAGGATGAAATTGGCATGGACAGTCCTCCCATTGCTGGTGGAGAACAGATATATGCTGCTATAGGCAGCGGCAGCAAAAGGAGACCATACGGATGTTTAATCAGCAGACCGTATATAACAACCGCTCCGGTCAAAGTTCCACATCAGCAGATCTTGGGCGTAATAACGTTACGCCCTCCATGGGAGGAGGGGAGCCGCCAACATGACTCCGGCTCATGACGGACAGAAACTGGAAAATTATTAAATGACTGCTCTTCCTTTACCCCAGAAACAGGAGGCACATTATTGGACGAATCGCTCTGGATCGAGTTTCACTCCAGCAGTTATTCAAACCATTTGACGCGCCAATCCCTTAGACCCAGATGATATAGGTCCCTCGCACACGCGCAAAACTGAAAATAAGCAAAATAGAATGAGCATCGCAAGCGAAGCAATAGCTCACAAAATGCTATTCCAGAGGACTCCAGCAGTTCTGGGCTCCTAAAGCCAACCAATTGTCAGAAGAAGCCATGAAACGGTCGGGGTAGAGCGTTCCATTAGGTGCCCATGTGAATACCTCATGTCAGCCATTGGACATGGATGGCCCCGTAAATCAAAGAGAGATAGCTCAAGAGCTGACAGGGCTGTTGCGTGAGAAGACGAGGCATGTAATTGTTAGAATTTCGATTAGCGGCACTGCTATTAACTATCAGAGCCCATCTTCATACGCTGATCAATATCGTAAGCCCCTGGGCATGTGATTTGGTTTCGAATTGGTCATACCACCCTAACCTGATTTGGTGCGGGCTCAGCCCTAGCCCTAATTAATTCCCAGCCTCTTCCATTTCCTTTCCTCTCTTCCTTTCAGACCAACACGGCACGCACCCTCATGCTGTCTCTTCGTTGTCTATTGGTTTCTTCCTGCCATTGCGCCGTGTCCCCTGCGCTACCCGTCTGATCCCCATTTCCCTTACGGAACAAACGCCTTACGGGAATTGCGTGGCAGTTTGGTCCCGACGCAAGGATCCCGGCTCCCAAGGGCCAGCCGTCCTGCTCAGTATCCTTCCCAACGTTTGTAAAATTGTAGGCGATTCTAAACGTCAGTCGATGACAGACCATCGCCTTACATTACGTGGAATCCAGAGAGATTCCATGCAACTGCAACCTCATGTCGAGGATGTCTGGTTTTGAGTTGCCATGATGCGTCATCTGGACGTTCCAACTTCAGAAACATCTGAGCTGCTCACCTGAAATATTTCCTAAATGCCAAGCCTTTTAAAGATTATTGTGTACCCCATAACTAGGTCTCGGGAGCCTACCCAGTACACCATCTCAAGCAGGGTTTGGTCTAGACATTCCGTACGGGAGATCCCCAACCCGAACAATAAATCCGGCAGATCTCGCATTCATGTGGCCAAAACAAGACTCGTATTATATTATTAACTGTATTGCATGCATAGGTCATCTGCAAGAGACATGCTGACATGTGTATTATCCAGAAGCTTCGTTCAGTGTATCCTTGCGGTAATTTATGTGGGTGGTACAGCATTGGCAAGTGACGAAACGGCTCGGGAATATGAGCTTTTCTGGAAATATTCCTGGTGAATAGCAAAATCTCTTGTGGATATACTCTTGTTCTCATTGCTTTTGGCATTGCCATAAACCTTTATTATATTATTATTATTTGAAATTCTATCTTACTGAATAAGCGAACCCCGTTGGAACTGATGATCGCGAAGAGATTTGGGAATTAAACAACATGGCACGGCGTTTCCTTTAACTTGACTGCGTATTCAAAATAATGTCTCTGGTCCTATCGGTCAAATGCTTCCTCTTTGGTTCGTCCTCAAAAATAAAGTAGTCGACGTTGACGTCCCTCACATAGTCGATATTCTAATACCTGGGAGTCGTGTATCTCGTCTTCCAGGACTTAGGTTTGCCTGAAGCCTCTTCCCTACCCTAGACACAAGTGGGGTTCAACCTTTGCAATATATTGTGGAGATTTTCGGCAATCTTTGCTTTGAACTGAAGGATATAACTGAGATTAGATCACTAGCGGTTTGTTCAAATACCACATTAAGCTTGCAAATGTCTACTTCCACATAATGGCCATTGCATATGTAATATCTGCTCCCAATTGCTTCAACAAATACACCCTCCATCTATATTTAATATGCCGGTTTTTCCTCATTTCAACTTTGATTTTGAAAATGCATTTTTGACTTCAACTTTTATCAGCATCAGGGCGTTTCTGGCTTCTGTTCTACGCTTCTCTCTTCTCAGCTCTACCGAATATTTGTCATTTCATAGATTAAGAGGAAGTTCGCTCTTCGCTTGAAACATCTCTGATTTGTGATATAGCCCCTTGACATCCCTCTCCTGCTCTCACTGTCTTATTCAACAGTGATACCACCGCTGAGTTGGGATGAGGCATGCGACACGCCTTATTTTAACCTCTGAAATCCTGCTGCAGACGTCGGTGATAGTTGGGCATACGATCTCCCTTACATTTCTTATGTTCCTAGTCCAGAGCTCCTTGGGTATAAATATATCATAACTTCAATACCCTTTCCCTCCGCTCAATTATTGGACGTACGAAATCAGCTGAGGTCAATTCTCACTCCATTCTTTAAAGATGCAAGAGCAAAGCAACCTCCTTTCCGCATCTTTCCAAGAATCATAACAAGAAAATATCTGTTTTGCAAACGTCCTCGATCTCAGCCGTTTACCAGGGCCAAGTTCTGACTATGTTACCAGCGCACCTACGGTTCTCGTAATAATCTCAGTAGCTCTAGCTTTACCACCTCAAGCCGTTGTCAACAAGCCTCATACCCTCCAATCCAAGCGAGCCATGGATAACCTCACCTCAAACCTCTCTGTTACAATCGGGACTGCTTCCACCACCGAAGCCACAACCGACCCAATCCAGCTAAGCGTTGCCATCCGGAATAACATCCCAAACCAGGCCATCACACTCTTAAAGTGGAATACCCCTCTTGACCCACAAGCAAACGTGCTTGGAATCTTTGAGGTCCGGGAGGCCGAATCGGGCAAACTTGTGACTTCATTGATCGTCAAGATATCACGCAAACTGCCCCCGACCCAAGACGATCTGGTGGAAATTCCCGCCAATGGAGTGAAGGAAACTCAAGTTACCCTAAAGCCAATGTCCTTGGATCACGGGGCTCAGTACAAGGTTTCAGCAAAGGGAAGATGGCAGGCAGTGTGGGCCGGGGGCGTCGATGATGTGACTGCGGACCAGTTGGCGGAGTTTTCTTGTGCTTCTTTAGGGGACTTCGAGTCTAATACAGTAGTAGCATTGTTTAAGTGAGGGAGAAAATTGGTTTATGTTTTTTCCTTACTGGACTGTCAACCATATTCCTCTGTATTGCTGTTATTGATTCTATGATAGTGAAAGAAGAGATATAGGCACATTTCCTAAGTTATCTTGGCTTTCTTTGCTGCCCCACCCTCTTCTCCCTCTAAAGCATTAGTTACTAGTATCTGCCTCCTATCTGCCTCAGCATGAGTTTTAGAGCTAGAATATAGCTCATAATGTTGTCAGGCCTATCCGCCTTCTTACGTAATCCGCACCGTGTATAACTTCCGCGTAGCTAGCGATCGCTTCAGAATCAATCAAGCAATCTATCCTTGACAAATGTAGCTTGTTAATTTATATATATGATACATTTGGACTCTTGCTCGGTTAATTTAATAATAACATGAATACAGTTAAAACATGATTTTAAAACAGTTGGATTTAATTTTAAAATTCAACTGGAAAATATCTTCAGCTTGATTTATATGTTATAAATCATGGATATTTCTCACATCAGATCACCTGCATTCATCAAATCATTTCAATATGCCTCTTAAATCAAAAGATCAAGCTTGTAGTCAAGAAGGGAAGGCTCTTATTAGCTATTAATGTCTATAAAACTGAAGCAAATCTCATTC